GAAGTAGAGTTGGCTCTGCATGAACTCTGCGTTCTGGACTTGGGACGCAGAGTTAGGTTTTGCATGAACTCTGCATTTTGAGTCTACGAACTCTGCGTTTTGTCGTAGAGATGAACTCTGTATTTTGACTCTGGAATGCAAAAGCGAACCTCAGGCGGGCTTGGTGAGCTTTAGGCTAAGTCCAATATCCATGCGAAGTCTAGTCTTGCAGACGGACTTCAGAATATAACTTGCTGCGAAGAACATATCATAACTTTCAAACCGTAAATCAAAATTAGACAAATTATATATAAAATTTGGCTATCTCGACGAGACAGAGCTGACCAAACCAACCCCAGTGGGTTTGGTTTGCTTCTGTCCGTTTTACCAAATTCCTTACGGTTTGAGAGATATCTATGTTTTGATTTGAAGAGACCGTCAATTTGTAGTCTCTTTTGCTAGAGCATTGCAAAGACCATCATCTTGTACCCTTCGTCTTGACTCCTTGAAAATGTGAGAGTCGTTAATTTGTAACTTCCGATATTGATTGTGAAGGCTGTTGAATTAGAGTTTTCATCGATCTACATGAAAGTTTTCAAATTATAGTCTTCTGAATTGTAACTTCCACCATCAGTTTTTGATGGGGATAAGCTATCTGCAGTAATTTTTAGACAACCTACAACATCGGCAGTGAAATTTTTTCGACGTTCGTTCATGAGGCGAAGAAAACTACGATCTTGAAGACGATGATGACAAGTTGCATCGCCAACCCCTTTAAGTTTACATATTATTGTAATTTTTTTAAATCGATGACTTGAGATTAAATTAAAGTATGTAAATTTATATATTATTGTTATTTCACTGTAATAAGTTTATTGTTAAGCTTATGAGTTAGTGATGAAGGGAGGTTACGTGTTAGTTTTGAAGGTTACGAGTTGGTTGTGAAGTTTACGAGTTAGTTGTCAAGATTACGAGTTGGTTGTAAAGGTTACGAGATGATTGTGAATGTTACGAGTTGTTTGTGAATGTTATGCATTGGTTGTAAAGGTTACAAGTTTTTTTGTGAAGGTTACGAGTTGGTTGTGAACCTCGATAATGAGTTGATTGTGAAGATTACGAGTTAGTTGTGAAGGTTACGAGTTGGTTGTGAATGTTATGAGTTTGTTGTGAAGGTTACGAGTTTGTTGTGAAGGTCACGCGTTAGTTGTGAAGGTTATGAGTTTGTTGTGAAGGTTATGAATTGATTGTGAACCTCGGTAATGAGTTGGTTGTGACGGATACGAGTTTGCTGTGAAGGTTAGTTAACAACAATCATAATCAACTCATTGTCGAGGTTCACAAACAACTCGTAACCTTCACAAACAACTCGTAACCTTCACAACAAATCCTTAACATTTACAACCAATACATAACCTTCACAACCAACTTGTAATCTTCATAATCAATTCGTATCCTTCACAATCAACTAGTAACCTTGACAACCAATGTGTAACCTTCACAACCAAAGTGTAATATTCACAAACAATTCGTAAACTTCACACCAACTCCTAACCTTCACAACCAACTCGTACCCTTAGCAATCAACTCGTAAACTTTACAACCAACTTGTAACCTTCAAAACTAACACGTAACAAACTGCACACCAACTCCTAAACTTCACAACCAACTCGTAATATTCACAACCAACTCGTACCCTTAGCAATCAACTCGTAAACTTTACAACCAACTTGTAACCTTCAAAACTAACATGTAACCTTCCTTCATCACCAACTCATAAGCTTAACAACAAACTCATTATGGTGAAATAACAACAATATATAAATTTACATACTCTACTTTATTCTCAAGTCATCGATTTTAAAAAAAAAGTATAACAATATGTAAAATAACAAAAAAAAATATAGCACTCAGAGTCAAGTACAAGTTAAAAAAGGAAAAAAAATTACGCCGGCAGTTACCAGAGTTCCCGTCTTTTCTTCGCCTCATGAACAAAAGCATGATGTCTGGAAAATTTTGGAGGGAACAAAAATTTTCCCCCCAAAACTCATTTCAAATCATTACAGTAACATCATGAGAGAGAGAGAGAGAGAGAAATGGTATTATGATTTTTTCATATTTTAAATTCTTAGGTTTTTGTGTTTTGGAGGCTTAGGGAATTATGACTTTGCTTTTGGGAGTTTTGGGAGGGAGCGTTGAAAAAGTCTTGCGGAGGCGGGAGGAGGGGCAAAATACTTGTAAGGAAATTGGGGAGTAGAACCAATTTTCCCAAAATATTATTACTACAGAAAACGCTTCTCCCACGCAATAATGGTTTTCTAGAAGAGCCGCATAATAATGTTGTCGTCACCCATGATGCTATGTAGTAGACTCAAGAAAACTGCTAATTATCTAATCGCAATTAGCTCATTATTATATAACTATCAGTACATATGCTCGCAGCAGGTTACTTACGTGGTAAGACTTTTGTCATATATATTAGTTTCTGGCGTAACTGTGTTGCACTCTATAAAATAGAAATTTCATGTTAATATTTCAATTTTTTTTTATGTTAAATTAGATGAAAACCGTTTGTTTAGTATATTTCTAGGATCCATATTCCGTACTAGGGGGGTGTTAGACACCTAAAACTTAAAATTAAAACTGAGATAATCCGTGGGATAAATTTTTAAGGTGTTAGTGACATAAAACTAAAACTAGAACAAAATTTTACAGTGTTAGTCAAGTAGAACTCTAACAAAACTATAATTGGGATAATGGTACAAAATTATCTCATAATTTTTATTTTTCTATACAAAAATAAGAGTTCTAGTCTCTCAAATTATTCTAAGTTGTAGCTTGGAGCTAGGTGATAAAAAACTAGAACTCATATTTATTTTGTTATTTTTTATTTTTTATATTTCTTTTTCTTTCTTTACTTCTTTCCTATTATGATTATCATCATCATTAGACCATCATTATAATAATAAAATTGTCAATATCTTATAGTCTAACCAAAAATTATTTAATAGTAAAGAACATTCTTGTAAGTAATTATCAATCAATAATAGTAAGTTTAAAATACATAAATAGTATTTATATCTTCAAAACGCATAAATATATATTTCATGATTATAAAAATTTATCCCACGTTATTTTATCAAAATATCCCGCTTCACAAAATTGTTCGTGTTTATCCCACTAAAATATCCCACTAGTGAAATATTCCACTTTAACAATTAATTATCCCATTTTGCATGAAAATATCCCAATTGACTAACACCCCCTAGGGATAGTCATCTAGAACTTAAAATTGGAATTGAGATAATCTGTGGGATAAATTTTTAAGGTGTTAGTCATATAGAACTAAAACTAGAACAAAATTTTACAGTGTTAGTCAAGTAGAACTCTAACAAAACTAGAATTTGGATAATGGTACAAAATTATCCTACTTTTTTCATTTTTCTATACAAAAATGAGAGTTCTTGTCTCTCAAATTATTCCAAGTTTTAGCTTGGAACTAGGTGGTAAAAAACCAGAACTCATATTTATTTTGTTATTTTTTATTTTTATATTTTTTTCTTTACTTCTTTCCTATTATGGTTATCACCACTATTAGACCATCATTATAATAATAATTATCAATATCTTATAGTCTAACCAAAAGTTATTTAATAGTAAAGAACATTCTTGTAAGCAATTATCAATCAATAATAGTAAGTTTAATATACATAAATAGTATTTATATCTTCAAAATGCATAAATATATATTTCATGATTATAAAAATTTATCCCACGTTATTTTATCAAAATATCCTGATTCACAAAATTGTTCCTATTTATCCTACTAAAATATCCACTAGCGAAAAATTATTCCACTTTAACAATTATCTCATTTTGTATGAAAATGTCTCAATTAAGATAGTTATGTAATATTGTTTTCCCCCTTTTTTCTACGTGTGTACCATCTCATAGTTTATATGTATCTATTGGCTGTAGAGTCAAGAATTTATAATAGTGCCACTACGTATGAAAAACAATATCACTAAATTTTTTCTCTAATTTAATAAAATAGGAACTTTCATGAGACATGAAAGATACATTTAATAACTAAATATAAATATAAGTGACTGTTACGTATATTTAGGTTCTAAAATTCTTACATAATGTCTGAAATATCAATTAATACATTTCCTAGAATCAAGCCTTTTTGAATTTACGGATCATCTTTATATATGACCACTTCATTTCATGCTTGGGTCATTAAGGATTAATTGGTTACTTATGTTTTTAATTTATGGTGCCAATTGTAGTTAGTAAAAAAAATATTGAAGCAAATTTTCTTTTTAAATTTTTTATTTTTATTTTATAATATAGAGTAGTGTCACTCAATATTATCCTGTTTTATGTAAATCCTCTAATATAGGGAAAGGCGACTAGTAAGAATTGAAATATTTTACCGTGGAAAGCACAATTCATGCAAAATAATTTCATTTCTATATTACCCATCGCTAACTAGCATGCTCCAAAAGTGTTTCTTTCTTTCATGTTTCTTGTATACGAAGGACTCTACCATTTATTTGTTGGGCATATCAGCAAGTAAATCTTCAGCGTTATGAAGAGTTATACTTCCATTTTTACTATAAGACAAAAAGGAATTTATAATAACACCGTGAAAAACTCATTATTTTTACTACAATTCACAAAGAACATATCGACATTTTTATTTCCTAAAGTACCTACAAATGTAACACAACAGTTTGTAGATACATGTTGGCTGAAGACACTAACGTGACACCATTATACCCTTTTTAATTTAGTGGGGACCTTGTGGGGCATTGCTCACCAGAGCTTAATCCTTATCAGGTTTCGTTTAAGGGGCTGTTTGGGTGGCTGATAAACTAAGAAAAAAAAAAATCAAAACATTTAACACATCTGAAAGTTTTTTATTGTATTTAGTTTAGAAAAGAAAAAAAAATATTGTACGACCCACCCAGTATAATAGTGCAATTGGTCGCTTTTATCTTCCCAACACTTTATCCCACCACTACAACTCCACAGGACCCAAAAAAAAAAAAAAAAAAAGGAAAATCAGAGCTCAGAACGAAAGCATCCATGGAATTTTGGTTTTGGATTTTCAAGCTTATAACTGTTCTTGCGTTGGTAATTTCTCTCACGATATGGATTGTCAAAACCCTAGAGTGGTCATGGTGGAAGCCGAGGAGATTGGAGAGGGCGCTCAGGGCTCAAGGCCTCAAGGGCACTCATTATCGATTCCTATTTGGGGATCTCAGAGAGAACGTAAGGATCAACAAAGAAGCAAGGTCCAAACCCTTGCCCTCAAAATCTCACGCCATCATCCCTCGCGTAGTTCCTCTGCTGCTTCGTTCAATGAACCAATTTGGTAATTTTCTGGTTTTTTTTTCTCGAGACTTTAATGTTTGAATTGAGGGTAGAAAGATTGGACTTTGGGGCTCTTTAGTAGAAAATTAGTGTTGATTGATTGCTTGGCTCAAAATGTTAGCCTAAGGCCATCTCCTACCCATCGCACCAAAATAGTGTAAATTTTGCATTAAAATGGTGTAAAAGTCACATCAAACAATAATTCATCTTCAACCCACCGCACCATTCTTTGCTAAAAAAATCTCAGTATATTCCTTTTTATCTACTTTTATATTATTATTTTTATTCCCTATATTTTGAACTATTTCAACAATTAACCCCACATATTAAATTTTATTTTTTTCACATATTTTTTAAACAAAATGATTTATTATTAAAAAAATTAAACTATTAAAATAATAAAATATTATTTTATTAAGTAAAATAACTTGATTGCTAAAATATTATATTTTTATTATTGATATTGCCAAAATATTACATTTAAGAACACAACAGAAAATAAAATACAAGAAAATAATTAAACATTAACAACAATGTAAAAATTACAAATTTAATGTGCACTTAATTATCTGAATTAGTGTATTCCTCACATAGATGATCTATCAATGCATTACGAAGTGTAATATGAGCATCTTTATCCTTGATTTGTCTGTAACGTGCAATAAATTGATTAAATCTTGTGGTTTCATCTGCTATAATATCAACTTCTGGTGTTGGTGCTTCCCTCACTTCTTGAATTGGTGCATAAAGATCACGTTCATTCTCGATTATCATATTGTGCATAATAATACATGCAGTCATTATGTCATGTAATACATGTTTTTTTCAAAAACGTGTTGATCCTGCCATAATTGTAAATTGTGATTGAAGAACTCCAAACGCACGTTCTACATCTTTTCTACATGCTTCCTGTTTTATGACAAAATATTTTTTCTTTATACCTTGTGGTTGTTGGATTGTTTGTACAATAGTAGCCCATTTTGGATATAAACCATCAACTAAATAATAACCCATATTATACTTTTTTTCTTGAATAACATAGTGAGCAGAAGGAGCAATACTTTGAGCTAGATTAGAGAAAAGATTAGATGATTCCAGCACATTGATATCATTATTGGTGTCTGACATACCAAAATATGCGTGTCATATTCAAAGATCATAATCTGCTACAACTTCAAGGATAATAGTTGGTGAGCCACTACGTCCTGCGTATTGCTCAGACCATGCCGTTGGATAATTTTTTTATTTTCAATGCATAAAATCAAGACTTCCTAACATTCTTAGAAAACCATGTTTTTTACCAATATAGAATAGCCTAGCAATATCATTAGCGTTAGCGTTAGGTGTTTGTAGATACCGCTCTGCAAATATCTCCACCATAGCATGATAAAATTTTGTCATACTTTCAATTGCTGTTGACTCACCTATTTTAACGTATTCGCCTATATCATTAGCTGGTAGACCGTACGCCAACATGCGAAAAATAGCTGTTACTTTCTGTAACGGTGATAATCCTATTCTACCAAGTCCATCACTTTGTTGTTGGAAGTAATAATTATGATCTTTCACTGTATCAACAATACGAAGGAACAAATTCTGATGCGCAATTTCTCGATCGTGATTGATCACTGCATGATCGGGAATCGAGCCACCATGGATCAGTTGGTAGTTTTGTTGACATATATTGTTAGCGAGGATCATGTTGTTGTTAATGTACTCACGAATTACTTCTTCGGTTTTATCAATCTCTACAATAATATTTTTTAGAAAATTATCATCATCCGAAGATGAAGATGATGATAAATATGATGGACCTCCAGCATCGAAATTTGTTTTTGAAGTAAGAAAAGAATGACTGAAGTATGTAGAAATGGAGAATAATAATTTTAACACAACAACGAATAATTGTGTGGATGTACCTAATCTAGTATGCTATTTATAAAATTTTGCTTAGTTGTATACGTTGAATAATGTGTAAAGCTGGGCTAATTTCAGAAAATAATTTCCAGCTGTTATCAATTTGTCACAAAATTCAAATTTGCTTAGCTGTATACGTTGGACAACGTGTAAAGCTGAGCTGATTTTAGAAAATGATTCTCACTTATATAAAATTTTCACACAATTCAATGAATGCTTAGCTGTATATATTAGAAGATGATGATAAAGATGATCAGTTTCAGAAAATGATTTCCACTCATATAAAGTTTTCACACAATTCAATGAATGCTTAGCTGTATATGTTGGAAGATGATGATAAAGCTGGTCAGTTTCAGAAAATGATTCCTATTCATATAAAGTTTTCACACAATTCAATGAATGCTTAGCTGTATATGTTGGAAGATAATGATAAAGCTGATCAGTTTGTACACAACGATTCAATTTTAAATGTTGACCACCAACAAATTCAAATTCAAATTCAAAAAAACAAATTTGAATTGGCTATAAATAACATTCACGAATTCTACTTCAAACCACGCAATTCGAAGTATTTCTCAAAGTATTTCTAATCTCCAAACCAACCGCTTTTTACAAAAAAAATATATGTTCGATCATCTGAATACACGGTACTGAAGATGTGCTCCTTTGTCAAGTATTCATGGATATTTCTCAAGACCCTATTATCGGTAGAAACCAATCTCGAGATGCATTTTGGTCTCGTGTGGAGGACAGATACAATGAACTTCGAGATCAGCATTTTGAGGTTCGTACGAGCCGATCAGTTCGTTCTCGAATGGAAATCATAAGTAATGAAGTAAGAAAATTGAATGCGTGCTTAAGATAAGTAGAGAATCTGAATCCAAGTGGTGCTTCAGATGAAGATATTGTAAATATTCTATTAATTATCTTTTGAAATTTATTATTATTGTTGAAATACATAACTTGATGTTCACTATAATTTGCAGTTAGTTCGAGGAAAGATGTTATTTATGCAAGAACCAAAAGTACAAAAAAGGTTTCAAATTTGATCATGTCTGGAATATAGTTAAAAAAATTTAAAAAAATTTAAAAAAATTTAAAGATGATGTCCCCACAACAAGACAAGTTGGTCGAGGACAACCCCAAATTGTGAACTTCGACTCGTCACAATCAGATAATCCTACTCCGGAATCTCCCATATCAATATCTCCTGGACTGTCATCATTTACTCCACCTAAATGACCTATTGGGGTAAAAAAAGCCAAATTGAAAAGGAAAAATGATGATCATGAGTCAAATGTAGTGGACTCCATCGACACAAATAACAATCGACTTATAGACAGGTTAGACAAGACGAGCTTGGACAGGCAAGTAGCATTTGATATCGAACGAGAAAAGATATAGACAGGTTAGACAAGACGAGCTTGGACAGGCAAGTAGCATTTGATATCGAACGAGAAAAGATAGCCATGAAAAAAGATAGAGATGACTTGGACAGGCAAGTAGCATTTGATATCGAACGAGAAAAGATAGCCATGAAAAAAGATAGAGATGAATGAAAGATTATAATGAAAGATTTGAATTCCATTGCCAATCCAAACGTACGTGAGTACGTTCAAGCTCAACAAATTAAAATAATACCAAAAAGAAATAAACAAGAACAATGGTCTGTTTCTAATTTTGGCAATTATTTCAATGATATTGAAGACTTTGGATCCGATCTATCAGATTATTGAGAGTTGCTTGTTCATCTTATGTAATGTTATATGTTTAGTTTATATTTATGTTTTATTTTAATGAAGTTTTATATCATATGTGTCAGTTTTTATATGTTATGTATTTCAGTTATGTAATTTATATTTGAATTATGTATTAGGATTACTCTTTATATTTTTAATTTGTATTTCATGAGACTTTAATTATAATGTCTAGATTTTAATATTATAATTAATAATAATGTACTATAAATTTTAACATTATTTTTTATTTTTTAAAAATAATTTATTTTGTCCAAACTATACAATTGGGGTTGTTTTATAAATTTAAATTTTAACATTATATGGCGTCACACTGTTCAAATTCGCTAAAATACCACAAAAAATGCGGTTCGATTGGAGAAGAAACGCAGCGGCAAATGCACTGTTTGCGGCATTTTGCCGCTGCGTTGGAAATGCCCTAATAGGAAGCACAACCAGTTGCACAGATGCAATACCTTTATTTTAAGGAATTTCTATCTCCCTTAACCAAATAATTACCTAAAAATTATCATGAATTACTTTATTTTTCAAAATTCATACTCTTCTTGTAATTTTGTTCAACACCAGAGAGTTCAACTTAACCAAAAGAGAGAACCGCGACGAATTTGCCATCTCTCTTTAAAATGTATATGACAATCTTTTCATTTAATTCTGCTTATTTCCTATTCTCGGCTTGTTTTTTCAAATGGAAGATGCATATAATGTAATTACAGCTTGTTTATTAGCTTTTACTTGGAATTGGATCCAAATGGTTACTACTTGACAAATTGGCAAAATATATTAACCGCTTGTGCTAATTCATGGAGAAGGTTAACCACAAAGTACATTTTTGAAATGAAATGCAGGTAAAATTTCTTTCACATGGTTTGGCCCAACTCCCAGGGTGACTCTTACAGATCCAGAGTTGATAAGAGAAGTTTTGTCCAACAAATTTGGACACTTTCAGAAACCAAATATTGGCCCAATTGGGAGATTGTTGGCAACAGGATTAGCAAATTATGAAGGTGAAAAATGGGCCAGGCACCGGAGGATAATTAATCCTGCTTTTCAAGTAGAAAAGTTAAAGGTAAAAGGTGAAAAATGGGCCAGGCACCGGAGGATAATTAATCCTGCTTTTCAAGTAGAAAAGTTAAAGGTAATTACAACAACAACAAAAAAGGCCTTATTCCAAATTCTTTGGGTCGGCTAGGTGAATCCTATTTGTTAATTCAGTTTTATTAAGGGTCGTCTCCTTATTAAGTTAATTGATAGCATCTCACTTTTTCTAACTGGTGCATTTAGTGGCCTCAGGTAAATCTTGGAAGAGGGTAGTTATAATCCTTTGATATCTCTTGGTTACAATATGACAAGTCATTTGAATCGTAGTTATCCTGATTTGCAGCGAATGCTTCCAGCATTCTCTGCCTGTTGCAGCGAACTAGTCAGCAGATGGGAAACTTTTGTTGGTTCAAAAGGATTGTGTGAGTTAGATGTTTGGCCAGAACTCCAGAACTTCACAGGGGATGTCATCTCCAGGACAGCATTTGGTAGCAGCTTCGAAGAAGGGAGACGTATATTTCATTTGCAATCGGAGCAAGCTGAGCTTCTTATTCAAGCATTTCAGTATTTAGTCATCCCAGGTTACAGGTTTGCTATCTATTGCTCAGTGTCCAGTTACTATTTATATAGGGAGAGTACATCTTTTAATTAGTTAATTAATTCACTGAAGTTGAACTAAGTAATAGATTCTATTGATAAAACTGAGTTTAAAATAGACAAATAATATGGGAAACTTGCAACATATTTTATTAACTGAATGTTTGAATAAACAACATAGCAAAAAACAAACTGACAACTGAAAATAAGCAACAACTAACCCATGATTAACAAAATTCCTAAGCTCATGGGATTCTCCTAAAAAAACTGAAACAAAATAATCTATTCCCAAAAGAATAGGTCCACTACTATTATTCTGTTGAACATAAAACAAAGAACTTAACACCCTCCCTTAAACTGAATGTCATTCATAACATCAGTTTAAATCAGTCTCAGGACAAACACCAAGCAGATCAGGCAACTTCATAAAAGCACCCAACTTGAGAGGCTTGGTTAATATATCTGCAATCTGTTCTTCACTTCGACAAAATATTAATTCAATAATTCCATCTTTAACAAGATCATGAAGGAAGTGATACCTCACATCTATGTGTTTGCTTCTCCCATGTAAAACTGGGTTCCTGGAGAGCTTGATTGTAGAACTATTATCACAATAAATTTTTGTTGGTTCAGGCTGAAACTGATGCAGCATTTCAAGTATTCTCTTCAACCAAATAGCTTGACATGCACATGATGCTGCTGTGATAAATTATGCTTCGGTTGTTGACAGAGTAACAACTTGTTGCTTCTTTGATGACCAAGATACAGCTCCACAACTCAACATGAAAGCATAGCCTGAAGTGCTTTTCCTGTCTTCTAAATCACCAGCATAGTCACTTTAAAACCAATGAGATCTGATCCTTCTTCCCTTTTTATAAAAAATACCAAAATTAACGGTACCCTTCAAGTAACACAATACCCTTTTCGCAGCAGCAAGATGATATTCTATTGGACATCCCATATATCTGCTAATAAGACTCACATCATACATGATGTCTGTCCTGGTAGCAGTTAAGTACATCAAACTTCCAACAATTTGATTGAATAAAGTGCTGTCAACCTTCTTTCCTTTAGAATCCATAGCTTCACTCCTGGTTCAGTTGGAGTACTGAGTTACAACTCTTCATCTGAAATTTGTCCAAGATCTCCAGAGCATACTTCTTTTGTGTAATAAAAATCCCTGCCGCAGATTGTACTACTTCAATACCAAGAAAGTAGCACATCATTCCTAAATCTGTCATCTCGAATTCAGCCATCATTGGTTGTTTAAAATCATCAAACATACTTTGATCATTTACTGTGTAAATCAGATCATCTACATATAAGCAAACAATCAAAAAATTTTGTGAGATGCCAGATTTAATAAAAAGAGTATGCTCATATGGAACTTTTGGAATCCTGCCTTCGAAAATAGGCATCTATGCGACTGTACCAAGCTCTGGGTGCTTGTTTCAGTCCGTATAGAGCCTTCTTCAACCTGTATACCTTCTCTTCACAACCTTGCTGCACATATCCAGGAGGCTGATCTATATACACTTGTTCATTTAATTCACCATGAAGAAACGCCGATTTGACATCCAATTGATAAATAGGCCAAGACTTCCGTGCAGCAACAGCTACTACCTATTGGATTGTATCATGCCTGACAACCGGGGCAAACACCTCATCATAATCAACACCAAACTTCTGTTTGTAACCTTTCGCTACCAGCCGTGCTTTATACTTGTCAACTTCTCCTTTTTCATTCAGCTTGGTTTTATAAACCCACTTCACACCAATGGTTTTCTGGCCCTGTGGAAGGTCAGCCAACTCCAAGGTATCATTTTTCTTGATTGCCTCTATTTCTACATCCATGGCCTCTTGCCATTTTATGTCTTGCGCTGCATCTTCAAATGCTATGGGATCGCAGTCTGCAAATAAAATAAAAAGAAATAGTATCATCATCAGATAACTCATCTCCACTTACATAATCAATCATCCAAGCTGACCTCTTTCTTTGACGTTGATCTCTCTGGGTAGATACACCTGATTGGTGTTCTTCATTTGAGACACTTGCATTTTGGCTAGTTAGCACATCATTAGATAATTGCTGCTGTTGGTTTGATCGATCGGGTTGCTGGCTTGTCTGAGCAGGCTCTTGATTTGACTGCGCAATCTCCATTTCAACTTCCTCTTCATCAATGTTTACTGACAATGGTTGCTTTTCTGTATCCTTCCAATCCCATGCTTCTTCTTCATCAAAAATGACGTCCCGACTTATGATTATCTTTTTTGTGACTGGATTATATAATCTGTAGGCTTTGGATTCTTCACTAACTCCGAGGAAAACACATTTCATTCCTTTGTCGTCAAGCTTCTTTCTCCTCTTATCAGGAATATGGGCATATGCTATGCACCCAAAAATCCTAAAATGATCAATGGCTGGTTTGTGTGCAGACCAAGCTTCCTCTGGTGTTATGTTTTTTACAGCAAAAGTGGGACACCTATTTAGTACTTGAACAATCCAGTTAGCTGCCTCAGGCCAAAACTCTTTTGGAATGCACTTGCCAACATGCTTCTCACCATGTTCAAAATTGTATGGTTCTTTCTCTCCGACACACCATTTTGCTGTGGTTTGTAGGCAGCTATCAACTGTCTTTGAATCCCATACATTGCACAAAAGTTTGTAAAATCATGGGAATTAAATTCACCACCATGATCCGTAGGAAGAATTTTGATATTTCTCCCAAATTCCTTCTCAACAAATGCCTTGAACCTTTTAAATACCTTAAAAGCTTCATTCTTTTCTTGCAAGAAATAAACCCATGTCTTCCTACTATAGTCATCTGTAAATGAAATAAGGTACCTCTTATTGCTGTTTGAGGCTGGACTAATCGGACCACAAAGGTCTGAATGAATCAATTGTAGTGGTTTCTTGGCTCTCTCCATGCCCTCCCTATTGGAAAGGAATCACGATGTTGTTTACCGACAACGCAATCTTGACAGACTTTGGAGGGAGCATTGATTTGACGAAGACCAATTACCATATTCTTCTGCTGCAACGTTCTCAAACCATTAAAATTGAGATGACCATAGCGAAAATGCCATAACCATGTGGAATCTGTCACTTTACTAGTCTAGCAGGCTTGATCATTATTCTGATTATGTAGAGGAAACAACCGATTAGCTGTCATAATAACTTAAGCAATTATTCCCTTCTCTGGATGCTGTATTGAGCAACAACCCTTTTGAATAACAATTGTGTAGTCTCTTTCTTGCAGCTGTTCCATGCTGATATGATTGCTTTTTAATTCTGGAACATAAAAGACTCCAGGAATTTTGAAAGTGCGCCCTTTGACTTGTAATCTGACTGTGCCTCGTCCCGTGACAGCAATGCTTGAATTGTTCCCAAGCTTGACGTTATCTTTAAAAGACTCATCCAAATCTGAAAACAAAGATTTGTTACCACACATATGTGTTGTGCGTGGCGGAAGCTTTCTCGGGCAACACGAACAATAACTCGAACTAACAACAACTAATATGCAAACCACAATCACAGCAAGAACAAGAGATTAACTCGAACTAACCACAACTAATATGCAAACCACAATCACAGCAAGAACAAGAGATTTACGTGTTTCGGCAAGTTGCCTACGTTCACGGGGCAAGGAGGGGGGAGTTCTTACTATTAGAAATTAGAGAATACAAGTAGAGTTACAAATCTCTCAGATCAAACCCTAAAACAAAGCTCTAGATCTCTCTCAATTCTCCCACAATTGGATGCAACAATTCTCTCTTCAAGGCTGCTCAAATTCGTCCTTGCTTAACCCTAACAAATCAGGTTTAGGGTTGTTTGCGGGAAAAATCGTATCTTTCTTCATTGATTCCATTACACACTCTCGCGGTCGACCGCGGCGGTCGACCGAATCTCAGTCCCGAGAGCAAAAATCGCTTACAGTCATCTGCGGTCGACCGCGGCGGTCGACCGACACCTGCTCCGAATCCTGGTAGGCTTCGTGCACGTTGGCGGTCGACCGCGGCGGTCGACCGTCAGACTTTCTGGCTTCTCCTATGCTGTTTCCTGTAATTCTTTAATTCTTCACATCGGCGAATGTTTCCACCAAAACTGAGCCGACACCAAATCATCCAATAGTCTCTCAACAAGTCAGGGAACTAATCTAGAGCTGAAACGTGATCTCCCCCCCCCATCTGAATCAACTGATCAAACCGGCTGCATCTGAAAGACTGCCTACGTATCCTCTTGCCCAAGGAATCAAGCCGAACGTAGTTCACTCAAATGGTCTCCAAAGGCCTTAGCACTGAAGGATGTTCAAAAGCTTCAAACAATGACCAAATTTTACTCCTGAAACGACTTTGGTCAACATATCTGCAGGGTTGTCATTCGTATGGATCTTCTCTAATATGACGTCTCCATCATCCAAAACGTCACGTACAAAGTGGAATCTGACGTCGATGTGCTTCGTGCACGCATGATAAACATGGTTCTTTGCCAAATAGATAGCCGACATGCTATCACAATATATCCGAATAGTCTCCTGAGCAATCCCCAAGTCCTCCAATAATCCACGCAACCATAAAGCCTTCTTAATAGCTTCAGTAACTGTCATATACTCTGCCTCTGTAGTAGAGAGAGCCACTGTTGACTGAAGCGTGCAACGCCAACATACAGGTGCACCTGCCAATGTAAAAGCATAACCTGAAGTAGACCGGCGTTTGTCAAGATCTCCAACATAATCTGAATCCACATATCCAATACAATCCTGTCCATCCTTCTCATTCTTCTGGAACACTAAACCAACATCCACGGTGCCTCGAACATACTGTAGAATCCACTTCACGGCCTCCCAATGATCCTTCACGGGGTCGTGCATGGTATCGAGTGTATCTCGATACCATGCTCACGACTTGTGACAAATCTGGCCTCGTACACACCATCGCATACATCAAGCTACCTACTGCACTGGCATATGAGACCTTCGACATATAATCTCTGTCCTCAACTGAAACATGTGACATCAACGCTGAAAGCTTGAAGTGGGGAGCCAATGGTGTGCTAACTGCTTTTGCATTGCCATCAAAGCTGGATTTCTTCAACATCTTCTGCAAGTAGTTCTTCTGTGTAAGTTTCAAACTCCCTTTCACCCTGTCTCTCTCGATCTCCATACCCAATATCTTCTTTATCTCTCCAAGATCCTTCATCTCAAACTCGGATGACAGCTCATCTTTCAACTTTCGAATAGCCGAAGAATTCCTGGAAGCAATAAGCATATCGTCAACATATAAAAGCAAATATATGTGCTCACCATCATGTAGCTTGTGCATATAAACACATGGGTCATATGGGCTCCTCGTGTACCCTCGGCTAATTATAAAGCCGTCGAATCTCTTATACCACTGTCTTGGTGACTGCTTCAAACCATAAAGAGACTTCTTCAGCTTACAAACTAAATCTTCCTTTCCTGCAGCGTTAAAACCCTGGGGTTGTGTCATGTAGATCTCCTCATCTAAATCACCGTGTAGAAAGGCTGTCTTCACATCCATCTGGACCAAATCCAAATCTAACTGTGCAACCAACGCCAATAAAATTCGTATAGACGAATGCTTCATAACGGGTGAAAATATCTCGTTGTAATCAATACCCTCAAGCTGTTCATATCCCTTGGCAACCAATCTGGCTTTGAACCTTATGTCCCCAATAGAAGATCCCTCCTTCTTCGCATATACCCACTTGCAACCTATAGCCTTCTTACCCTTAGGTAGATGTGCAAGTGTCCAAGTATCGTTCTTCTGAAGAAACCGCATCTCCTCCTCCATAGCTTCCCTTCACCTGATCGAATCGGGGCTAGACTGTCTCCCTGAATGTGGCTGGAACCATATCGTCAACGACCTCCACTGATAATGCATATGCGACCATGACATCATTATACCTAACTGGCCGACGAATCTCTCTCCTCGGTCTATCTGCTACAATGGACCTCTGAACATGACTCTGTTCATGAGTCCCATGATCCACTGTATCCTATATCTGTCCGGCTATCATCTCATCTCCTCCCAGTGTCACCTCTGTAGGAGCCTCGATGGATACAATGCTCTCTGGAGTGGGTGGAGTCACATCATCCTTCACCTGCTGTGATATCTCTCCTGTCTGGTCTCCCTCCACCTGCTTAGGGGCTCGAGGCCTCATCATGTACGCCTCGTCAAATGTGACATCTCTGCTAATAACTAACTTCTTGTTCTATGGATCCCATAACTTGAAGCCTTTGACTCCATCTCTAAATCCCATAAAGACTGCTTTCCTCGCTCTCAGATTTAATTTACCATCACTGACATGATAATAAGCTGGACACCCGAATATCCGAAGCGACTCATAGTCACTAGCCACCGAACCAAACCAACGCTCTAAAAGAGTCTTCCCGTTTATCGCAGTGCACGGCAACCTGTTCACGAGATGGCTCGCATAAACTACCGCCTCGGTCCAAAAGGATCTAGGCAATACACTCTGTGTCATCATACACCGCACCTTCTCCAGCAAGGTACGGTTCAATCTCTCAGCCACCCCGTTCTGTTGCGATGTCTCTCGAACTGTGAAGTGTCTTCTAATGCTGTGATCTCGGCAAAACTGTAGAAACGGATCACTCTTGTACTCTCCACCGTTATCTGAACGTAGAGTCTTCACCTTTCTACCTGTCTGCAGCTCCACTTTCTTCTTCCATTCCACAAAAATATCCAGGACCTTATGTTTATGCTTCATCGGGTATATCCAATTTCTCCTGTAATAATCATCAATGAAAGTGACAAAATAGTTGGCCCCCCAAGAGATGTGTTCTTGGAAGGACTCCAAACATCTGTGTGAATGTAATCCAAAGTACCTCGGGTGTTATGAACAGCGGTGCCAAACTTCACTCTAGTCTTCTTCCCAAGTACACAGTGCTCACACAGCTCCATCTTGCAGGTCTTAGCACCTTTCAATAGCCCCTGTTTTGCTAATGACTGTAGGGACTTATCACCTGTGTGTCCAAGTCTCATATGTCATAAGGTGGTAGTGTCTTCCTCTGTAGTAATAGAAGCTGTCAGACCCCCTGTAACTGTCTTACCCTTCAAGTAGTATAGGTTGTTTTCACTGACACCTCGCATCACCACCATAGAACCCTTCGTGACCTTCACTGTAGCATCCTCTAAGATCACTCGATATCCTGCTGCCTCCAAAGTCCCAAGAGAAATGATGTTCTTCGTCAACTGTGCCACGAACCTCACTTCCTTCAATTCCCTCACTACACCATCATGCATCCTAATCCGGACTGAACCAATACCACTAATAGGACATACGTGATCATTACCCATAAGCACGACATCCCCTCTTTCCAGCTCCTCAAAGCTAGAAACTCACTTCCTTTTAGGGAAGATGTGATATGTAGCTCCCGAATCCATCATCCATTCCGTGGAATCCGCATAGCAAACTGACGGTAACGCAGGGCATGAATAGCTTGAAGAATGTGAATCTGAATGCTCACCAATAGCTTTTGCAACATTCACTTCTGAAGCTTGTGCAGCTTTCTCCTTATTTTTCCCGGCTTTTTCTTTCCACTTTGGGCAGTCAATCTTCCAATGTCCTCTTCTTTACAATACCGACATTGATTTCTACCAACACTCTTATAGGCACTCCTATTATTTGACTTTGAGCGGTTGAACTGGCGACGGTTTGGATCTCGGCCTCGAACTACTAATGCATCTCCCAATGTCTTCTCGGAGGGTTCACCATCATTCTTCCTCAACTCATAATTCACCAAAGCTGAGGTCAGCTCATTGTAGCTGACTGTAGTTCTTCCATAGATCATAGTGAGAACGAACGTACCATAATCATCTTCGGGCAACGAACACAGAAGTAGCATCGCCTTGTCTTCATCCTCAACTATAATATCAACATTGGCCATATCTGAAAGTAGCTTGGTGAAGTTGTTGACATGCTCCCTGATGGAAACTCCCCTCTTCATCTTGAACTGATAAAATCTCTTCTTCAAGTAAAGCCGATTCTCAATGCTCTTCGTAAGATATTTCTCATTGAGTGTTTCCCACATCTTCTTCGCCGACGTCTCGTTCATAACATCGTAAATAAGATCCGGCGTCAAGCATGACCTAATAACACCACAAGCTCTTTTGTTCATTTTCCTCCAAACCTTATCCTCCAACTCAGCGGGTTTCTCTTTTAACTCAAGAGTCTCCTCCAAATTCTGTGCATCCAAGGCATCCATCACTTGACAGCTCCACAATCCAAAAATTGATCTTGCCGTCGAACTTCGGAACATCAATCTTTGTGTTATTGATGCTCAGACTCTGTATCGCCTTTGTAAGAGACGAACATGACGTGCTTGCATCTCTCATGTTGTCGATCTAGCTCTGATACCAATTGTTGTGCGCGGCGGAAGC